TTCCATCGATACAGTCCAAATGTGAAAATAAATAAAATAAAAATCTGATTATTTGAAGTATTGATGTCTATTTTGGATGAATTTTTGGAGTTCTCAAATTGGTAGAGCTCAACAAAATTTGATGATTTGGTTCTCAAAAGCAATATACCACCAACATAAATTGGACCTTAACAAGCCTTCTTGCCCATAAATTCCATTGCCTTAAACAACTCAAATCCTCCTTTAATGTTTTCTTTTCGTTATTCTTAAAGATTTGCAGCTATCGACAAAATTAGTTGTTGAATTATTACTCTTGGTGCATAATTTGGATTCGTACAATGAGTGGATTCAGAGGTTTTTACTTTTTGTATTTTGGGAAGAATAGAGTAGAAAGAGGGGGTTAAATAGAGAAGGAAACCTTGAAGGGTGGAAGAAGTAGCTTGTCACCATGTAAGAATTTGTGAACTTTCAAGGATGAAAATGGTGGTGATGGGTGAAAGGCGGAGAGCTGGAAACGTGGAGAGAGTAGAGAAGGTGTGGGGTTCTTTCATTTTTTTTTTTTGTTGACAAAAATAAATTGATTTGAAGATTTTATAAACAGTAAATTTTTGTAATGTAAATTATGATGTGGATATTATTTATTTAGATGGATCTGATGTGTCCTCCATATCAAGGAGAGTGAACAACACACATGGCCGGAGGTGTTTAATATATTAGTTTTAATCGAGTTCAAGTGTTTGAATGAAACTTTATGGAGTATAAGGACCGGAATATTAATCCGGAACAAGTACATGTATCTCCTAGGCTACTCGGCCAACTCTTAATTATAATTAGAAGTTGTACTTAATCCACAAACTTGAAAAAAACCCAAATTTGAGAAAAAAAGCCAACGGACAACCTATGATTAATGAAATCAAATAACACACTAAGAGATCGTTGAGGAAGAAGCTCTTCAGCATAGTGTAATTTTTCGGCCAATGTTTTTCCGCCACTGGTTACACTGGTTTTGAGCTGTTCAAAATCAAAGAACAGGGCATTCCAATTGAAAGAATTGGAGGCCGCTCCTTATTTATGCTGGACTGAAAGCTATTTTCAATGAGCAGTTGGAATTCTGTGACGTGGATGCGCATTTTATGTAGCAACATCTGTTAGTTGATCATGAGAATATGGAAAATGGATTCAAAAGTTTGTGTTTTAAAGGAAAGCTGCTGTATAGGATACTTGAGGATGAATTTTTTCAAATATTTGTGGCACCCCAGGCCACCTCTTTCTTCACAACTAGATAACTATGAATATCGCTCAGGAATACTTACCGATTTCGGTCGGAAACCTTGAAAAATCGATCAATTTTTGATCGACTTTAATCTGTTGAATAAGGCTGGTCGGTAAAAAAAAGCAACCACCTTCGGTCCCAATTTCCAACCAAAGGTGATCGGTTTGTTCAACCAAAAGTTGACCAAATTATCTGACACACTTTCTAGGAAAATTAAATGTGCCGACCGAATTTCGTAAAATATTATTTTATTTATTTCTTACAATAGTGATCGATGTCTTAAATTAATCTTACATTTTTATAAAAAATTTAAGATACCGACCGATATCGCTCGGAATTATTAAAATATAATAAATTAGAAAAGACAAATTCCGATCAATTTTAGTCGATATTTTAAAATTCCCGCAGATTGCACATTGCAATTATTTTGGTCGGTAATTTAAATTTTCGGTTTTTTAAAAATGAAATTTCTGACTGAATTTAGTCGACATGTGACGAGCTTGAAACACACACTAAAATATGCTTGCTGGTCGAATATATTGAATTATAATATCGTATCCACAAGATTGGAGTTAAACAGTATTTTCGTAATTTGTAGCTAGATTGCTATCCAAGATGATCAACAATTGAGGTTTATATGATTAAAATTAAAATTAACTAAGAATCTAAACTATTGGCTAAAGACAATCAACACAAGTATTAAGCAAAGGAAGTTATCAATTGGAAGAACATAGGATTGATAGGATAGGTGCAAGATAAATGTTTGATATTTAACTCTAGTTAATTCACTTTTAATGTTCAAGTGATTCTCTTGAATTCACTTCGTTATTAGTTCAATTGATTAGTAGAAACTTCTCTCTCGATTAAGTCCCAACCTCACAAGATAATCAATTTTAAACATGTGAAGATATGCAAGAATTCGTAGTGGATTGGTCTTTAGGAGAACCTCTCTCGATTATTCTCCTAACTTGGTTCAATCAACAATTCAACTAGCCTCTTTCAATTGCTAAGAAGAATTAAAGACTTCAACCAACAAAATATAAAGCAACAATATTACAAGTTATGCCTCTTTCGATTACATGAACTAGTGAATATAGAAGCAACGATCAAAACATCCAAAATAATTCAATACATAAAAACTAGAGTTAATTATCCACAAACAAGTATCAATGAACCAAATCCATCAAACCCTAAGGAGAACTACTCCATAGATATGGAGTAATTCATTACAATTAATTTTAAAGTAAAGAAAAACATAAAACAATCCAAACCCTTGTCTTGAGTTGGGATTGAATGATGGATTCCTTGTGCTCTTGCTTCTCCCACCTTTTCTTAGCCTCTTTAGGTCTTAAATGTGTCAAAAGTCCCAAAAGTACCATTTTTCCATGTATATATACCAAGTAGGGTCGGGCCCAAATGAAAACACCTTCTCTTACACGAAATAGGACACTTTTCTGGAGTGGGACGTGCGCGGCCGCGCACTTGGAAGTGTGCTCGCGCACTTGGCAACGCATTTTACACCCTGTTCTGCCACACATGCGCGCCCAATATGCGACTAGCGCGCGGTCGCGCACCTTTCATCCTGTTTTGTTGTGAATTTCGGAAAACGTAAAACATGAAAAATGTAGCCCTTTTAAATAGATTTCCAACGATATATTGTGGAGCCCAAACGGATTTCTGACAGCATGTGCATTTTACTGGACACTGCACAGTATGCCTGCTCGATTCTTCGTTTCGTTTTTAAAGAGCACTATCATCCGTTGATCCCCGAACACGATCCGGACTTAATTCCATGGGCTTTTATTCAGAATTTAAAGCTCCAAATCACTTGAATTCATTCCATAGCATCTATATAGCTCAGAATCACTCCTACAAGGCATAAAACACACAATTAGTGCAAAATACTAGCGATTAAAGCTCCAACTCAATTAAAGTGCAGTAAATTAGAGTGTGATAAGCGACTAAAACATGAGATTATATCCTACCATCAAAACCGCACATTTAAACCATTTCTAGTCCTCGGGCAATCAAACAACACTTCATATAGACCCGACCTTATTAAACTACTCTCAAGACTCATCACACCAAGAATATTTAAAATCGATTAAGCACACTAGTGTAACATCCTCGCCTCAAGATTTGACTCACAAATGCCACGCATTATTCACAACTTACTCACTTACTCTAACATAGGGATAAATGACATTACCTTTCCTTCATGAATTATGCGCCCTCACACAACAATAGAGAGTGGTTTCACACACAATAAAATTTAAGAACAATCAGGAACTCAACATAGAAAGAATTCACTCGCTCTCAGAAATAATATTCGTATGCCACAAAAGATGCACCGTACGCTTACCCGTAGTGTACTGCTCTACTAATTGAGCTCATTCAGTCAAGGATCAAGTAGGATTTTAAACTGGTTGTAATGTAAACTGCGGGATGGGTAGTATATATTTGGATATAAGAGTGACTACGCCTCCCTAAGCACTTTAATACATACACTTTAACATTAAAAACTCCACACTTATGTCAAACCATACTCCACCTTCACATTAATATGCATTAACTCCCACATTATTTAAGCACAATTACATCAAGAGTTACCACTTATCAATGAATATTTTTCACAACAATGCAACTATTTTCTTCTTCTTTTCTTATTCAATTCAAAGTGGCTCTTATTTTTTTTAAAACTAGTGCACTTTTCTCCTTATTTCATTAGTTCCACTCAAAAGCCAAACCAACCACCCCACACTTCAACTTTTACAAAGTCCATAATAATTTCAAGTGCTCACGAGAGTTACAAGGTTCAAATAGATGGTCAATTCAAACAAATGGGTAAGTCTTGTAATGTGGTTGCCAAAGAAACAGAATTACAGGCTCAAAGGGGTTAACTAAGATACATAACAATTAGGTGCGTAGAAACATATAACTTGCTCAACAAAAAAATGCCTATATCACCCTCAAGCCTGAATAAAACTACTATTTCACTTTGCAAACACACGGGGCAAGTTCTAGACATCAAATGCATTGCACAGAATAACACAAAACCTTACACACATGGCACATAACTCACTCAAGATTGGCCTCATCAAGACACTCTAGTCAAAGCAGTTAAGAAAAATTAAGATCATCCAATTTAAGGTACTTACACAAGAGTCAAAACTTGAGCCTAAGCGTCACAACTAAAGCACTCACTATTCTCAAGGCATAACAAAGTCAAGAGACATTGCTTTTAATTCAAATCATAGCACAAGGTCTCCTACTCATAATAAAAATAAAAACTAACTACACCCGGTCAAACAAAATCCTTAGAAAAGAACCGCGACACAAAGAAAATTTTTTTGTCTCTTTCTTTCGACTTTAATCCCTCAAGAAACCCGTTAAATGATATCCATCGTCGGGAAAAGTCAAAAATTTTAAATTTTTTTATGGTTTATTCAAAAAAAAATTCTAACTATTAAAAAGCAAAAACTAACACATATATATACACCATACAATTATCCCCCACCCTACACTTTAAGTTGTGGCATGTCCTCATGACACACAATTAAAAAATATAAGGTAGAGGAAACTTCCTGAATCTCTAGTAGGTGTTTGAGTCAAAGTCGGTTTCCATTTCACGCACTCGAACTAGTGCGCACATCCGTGCAGACAACTTCTTCTCAGCCTTCTTGGGGTACACCCACACTTATCTTTCTCACTAACAATAGCCTTCTCTTTCACGCCCTTCACTTTCCACTCAACACATGCAACTGGCTTCTCCTTTTTCACTCCAGTTGCTACCTTCATCACCCACTCTAAGCATGGGTTTTCTATCATGTATATCCCGTATAGCTCTACCCATTGCTAAAAATGGTCTTCCTAAGATGATGGGGACCTCCTTGTTCTCCTCCATATTCACCACTATGAAATCTACAGGAAGTACGAACTTATCCTCCCGCACCAAAACATCTTCTACTATCCCTCGGGTGTTATAGTTGTTTGATCTGCCAGCTGCAAAGATATTGGCACCGACCTTATCTCTCCGATCTCCTTCTCTAGTTTCCTGTAAATAGACAATGGCATTAGATTAATTGAGGCACCAGCATCACATAAAGACTAATCAAAATTTAGAGTGTCTAAAGAGCAAGGTATAGTAAAACTCCCTGGATCTCCACACTTTTGTGGGAGTTTATTTTGCAAGATTGCACATGCTCTGTAAGCTTCACTACTGATGTCTCTTCTATCTTTCTCTTCTTTGTGAGGATCTCCTTCAAGAACTTTGCATAAGCTGGCATTTGTGAGAGAACTTCAGTGAATGGCAGGTTCACATTAACCTGTCTCAGCATTTCTAAAAATCTCTCAAACTGCTTGTCTAGCTTTTCTCTATAGAGAGTTTGGGGAAAAGGTAAAGCAGGCATGTGCTTGCTCACATCATTAGATTCCTCCCTTCTTGAAGTTTCCTCCTTCTTTTTCTCATCTCTCTTCCTGCCTATCTTCTTCTCAGCCTTTTTATCATCTTCAATTTTCAGCTCCTTCCCACTTTCTTTTTCAGGTGCAGCTTCTTTTTGACTTGGAGTGGGATCTTTCAATACTTGTCCGCTTCTCAAGGTCACATCATTTACTGTTTCTTTGGGATTCTTTTCAGTATCAGCTGGCAGAGTACATGGGATTCTCTCAGATAATATATTTGCAATTTGTCCCACTTGTCTCTGCAAGTTACGCAAACCTGTCCCAAGTTCTTTGATAGCTGCACCATGAGCATCTAACCTCTCATCCGTCTTGATAATGAATGACTTCATCAGATCTTCTAACCTAGACTGAATTGGCTGTTGAGGCTGAAACTGCATCCTTGGCTGATTCACAAAACCAGGACCTCCTTAAAATCTGGAGTTATTTTGTTGCCATGCATTTGCTACACCCCCAGGTTAACTCCATGAAAAACTGGGGTTCTTCTGACCCACTACATTGAAGTTACAGTTACCCACAACATTAACTTCCATAGTTGAGGCTTGGCACTCATGAGTAGGGCATCCTCTTCCACATATGTCATATGCTGCATGAGGCTCATTATGTATCGAAGCTAAGGTCAGCTTCCTTATTTCTTTTTCCATGGAATCAAGCTGTACCTGCATAGATGTGTTAGCATCAACCTGGTGCACACTAGTTGATCTTCTTCTTTAAGCATTTTCAGAGGGCCACTAATTTGCATCTTCAGACAATTCATCAAGTATAATGACTATCTCCTCTGGAGTCTTCTCCATCAATGGACCTCCAACTGCATTACTCAATGTTCTTCGTGAGGTTAGTGTCAATCCTTCTAGAAGTCGTGGAGTTGCATCCAAAGTTTAATTCTGCTATGCTGACACTTTCACACTATCTCCTTAAATCTCTCCCAACCTTCAAACATAGTCTCAGTGTCATTCTGGCAGAAGTTATGGATTCCTCTTCTAAACTTGACCGTTTTAGTTGAGCAGATATATTTATCTAGAAATTTTCTGGTCATCTCCTCTCATGTTCTAATGGATCGCTGTGTCAAGCTTCAAAGCCAGGGCTAGCATCATCTTTAAGTGCGAAGGGGAATGCCCTTAGATAAACTGCATCTTGTGACACACCATTACACTGGAAGGTGTTCATGATCTCCTCGAAGTCTATTAGATGATTGTTTGGATCTCCGTTCATCTTTCCTCTGAAGACACAACTATTTTGGAGAGGTTGGAGCAACCGCTGCTTTAACTCAAAATTATTGGCTGCAATTGGAGGTGATCTCACACTTGATAAACCTTGGTTGTAGACCGGTCTAGCATAATCACCAAGTGGTCTCCCTTGGCTGGGAGCTACGTTTCCGAACTGGTCTGCGCCCATGGACTGATTCTGATCCATTATTCGAGCCCTCTCCTCCTCATAAGCAATTTGTTCATCTCTAAGTGCTGCTTCTTCAGCATCTCTTGCAACTTTCTCTCTGAGTTGGGCTACCTCTTCGGAAACCAAATCAACATTATCATCATCTCCCACCATCTTTTCTTTGGTTAAGGATTGCCCAACCGCTTCTGTATTCTCGGGGAGATTTCTTTCCTTCCTCCAGTGTCGCAGATATTTCTCGATTTCTGGATCGTATGGTTGTAATTCATAACATAGAAAATCGAGTCATGCACCAATTTAACCTATGACATGCGCACAATCAAAGAACACCCAAATGTAAAAAGAGAAAAAATAAAATCAAAATACAAAGAAAAATTCCTGAATTAGCACCACAAACTATTTCAAACACTATTAATTGCCAATCTCTGGCAACGACGCCAAAATTTGATGAGCTTGAAACACACACTAAAATATGCTCGCTAGTCGAATATAGTTAATTATAATATCGTCCACATGGATAGGAGTTAAACAGTATTTTTGTAGTTTGTAGCTAGATTGCTATCCAAGATGATCAACAATTGAGGTTTATATGGTTAAAACTAAAATTAACTAAGAATCTAAACTATTGGCTAATGACAATCAACGCAAGTATTAAGCAAAGGAAGTTATCAATTGGGAGAACATAGGGTTGATAGGATAGGTGCAAGATAAATGTTTGACATTTAACTCTAGTTAATTCACTTTTAATGTTCAAGTGATTCTCTTGAATTCACTTCGTTATTAGTTCAATTGATTAGTAGAAACTCCTCTCTCGATTAAGTCTCAACCTCACAAGATAAATCAATTTTAAACATGTAAAGATATGCAAGAATTCATTGTGGATTGGTCTTTAGGAGAACCTCTCTCGATTATTCTCTAAATAGGTTCAATCAACAATTCAACTAGCCTCTTTCGGTTACTAAGAAGAATTAAATGTGTCAACCAAAAAAAATTTAAAGCAACAATATTACAAGTTATGCCTCTTTCGATTACATGAACTAGTGAATATAGAAGCAACGACCAAAACATCCAAAATAATTCAATACTGTAACGACCCGACCGGTCGTTTTGAGCTTTTGCGCTTTGCTCGTCAGTTCTCGGGCATGTCTAGCCCCATATTATGCATTATGGCTTACGTAAATCGTTGGTTTTGGTTTCAGGATAATCAGAATGAATTTGGAAGAACAGTTCTCAGCTTGAAGCTTGAAATTTAAAAGGTTTGACCAAGTTTTGACTTGTTGGTATATGATCTCGGATCGGAATTTTATGATTTGGTTAGCTCCGTTAGGTGATTTGGGACTTAGGAGCGTGATCGGAATGCATTTTGGAGGTACGTGGAAGGTTTATGCTTGAATTGGCGAAATTGAGATTTTGGCGGTTTCCGGTTGATAGGTGAGATTTTGATATAGGGGTCGGAATAGAATTCCGAAAGTTGCAATAGTCCCGTTGTGGCATTTGGGATGTGTGTGTAAAATTTTAGGTCATTCGGACGTGGTTTGGTATACTTTTTGATCAAAAGCGGAATTCGGAAGATGTTAGAACCTTAGGCTTGAATTCAATGTATTTTGGTGGTTTTGATATTGTTTGAGATGTTTTGAAGGTTGGTATAAGTTTGAATGGTAGTATAAGACTTGTTGGTGCTTTTGGTTGAGGTCCCGGGGGCCTCGGGGTGATTTCGGATGCTAAAATGCTAGAATAAATTAATTTAAATTCTTTTAAAACTACAGGAAAATTATGAAAAATACCGGTTGATGCTCATGCATTATTTTGAAAGTAGATATGCATTTTAAAAATATATGAGGGAAAAATTTGGTATCAACACTAAATATATATATATGAACATATTAGATTTTGAACCAAGAAACTCAAATAGTCAATGAGTTTAATTCTCTATCGCTCATGATTTCAAAAATATACAACTAGAAGTATGAAGCAGACGATGACAATTGAGTGAGCAGGATCCTGAGAAGCGAAAGAAGTTTGAGAATATTTTTAAGCAAATAGAATTTGTCCGAACGACTAATATTTGGAAATGGAGGGAGTATTTTTGTAAGAAGTATCTATCAATACTCTCTAAATTTCACCACATTCATGTCCAATGTACTTAAATTAATACGTAAATTATAAGTACCCTATATCAATGGTATGTGATGCTATCTTATTGTTAGTTTTTTTTAAAAAAAAATACATTTTTATATTTCAATATAATTTGGTACTAATTTTTTATTTTGTCCTTAATTAATGATAAGCTTTTATAGCTACATAAATATTACAATAATCTTATAGCTAGGCACTGAAAACTGTCCAATTCAGTGAGCTTGAGACAAAGTCAAGACACCCATTGTAGAAGAAGAAGGAGAATGAGAAGAAGAAGAAGATCAAGCAGAGAAGAATAGAACAGAATGAAATCATAGATGCAGGAAAATGAATTTTGTTAGAATTGACAGTTGTACTATACAAGTCAATGAAAGGAAACATTTATACAACTAATTACCTAACTAACTATACTAACTGACTCACTAAACTATGGTTCCAACTAACTTAAGTTAACTACACAATGGTTAGGTAATGGTTGTACTACTATGATCCTCTACTCCCCCTTCAAGTTAGGACATATGAAGACATTCTTCATTCCTAGCTTGGAAAGCAGATAGTGATGATGTAAAGATGTCAATCCTTTTATCAAGATATCAGTCTGTTGTTCTGTGATAGGCACATAGACTGTGTGAATCAAACCAAGTTGAATCTTCTCGCGAATGAAGTGACAATCGATATCTATGTGCTTAGTATGCTCATGAAATACTGGATTAGCAGCAATCTGGATAGCAAATTTTCTGTCATAGTGAACAGGAACAGGCAACTGAACTTCCACACCCAATTCTTTGAACAAACCAACAAGCCACACCACAGAAGCTAATCTGCTGTACTTTGCCTTTGCTGAGCTCATGGAGATGGTGGTTTGCTTCTTAGACTTCCATGAAATCAATGAGTCCCCTAACTTTACCACATAACCTGTAACAGACCTTCTAGTGGATGGTCAGGATGCCCTATCAGCATTACAATAGGCTTGTAAGTGAGGAGAAGCAGTAGATGACATAAGAATTCCCATGCCAGGACTTTGCTTTATGTATTTGACAATTCTAATGGTAGCCTCCATGTGAGATGTCTTAGGGGAATGCATGAATTGGCTAAGAGTTTGGAAACATAGGAGATATTTGGTCTAGTGACTGTCAAATAGAGCAGCCTCCCAACTAGTCGCTAATAACTACCAGGATCAACAACTGGTGGATCATTCTGCAAGCCTAGATGCTTGTCAAATTCAGCAATTGTTAACTTCTAATTGAGTTCGACTGGTGCAGCGACATGCTTAGCACTTACTAAGCCCATATAAGAAATAAGCTCAAATGCATACTTGCATTGATGCATCAAAATCCCATGTTGACTTCTGGAAAACTCAATTCCCAAAAAGAATCTATGCTCACCCAAATCCTTAATCTTGAAATTCTTCTGCAAGGTATCCTTAGTATCTTGAATAAGTGTGGCATCATCACCAGTGATCAAGAGATCATCCATATAAACCAAGACAATGACAATCTTCCTAACCGAGCATCTAGTAAATAAAGAATAATCTAGATGGCTTTGAGTGAAGCCTGATGCAAGCAAAACAGATGTCAACTTGAAGTTCCATTGCCTGGAGGCTTGCTTGAGTCCATAGAGGGACTTAAGCAACCTGCAGGCCTGTTGTTTACCTTTAGTAGTAGAGAACCCCTAAGGCATGGTCATATATATTTCCTCATTGAGATCTCCCTGCAGAATTGCATTATAGACATCCGATTGATTTATAGCCCAGTTCTAGGATGCAACATCTGAAATAATTGATCAAACAGTAACCATTTTCACTACAGGGAAAAAGGTTTCCTGATAATCTATCCCCTCCTTTTAGCTATAA